TCAAAAGCTATTTTATTGTGTGTTTCTTCTAAGATCAAAGAACTATTCAAATATTTTAAAGTTTGTGTACCAAAATAAAATATTTATAAAAGTTAAGGGATCTTAATAATAGATGTAAAAATAAGATAGCTCCTTAAAAAGATGTTATGGTTCAAATGGAAGGTATTTTATTTGCAAGTAAATTCAGTAATGGTAGGATAGACGTAATAGATTGAAAAAGTGACGTGGGTAGCAAAAACTTTTATGTATTTCAAAATATGTTCCCGATTTTTTAAAATTTTCAAATATAGCACAAATTTTCATTTATATCAATAGTATATTAGATACTCATACCAGCAGTACATCAAACACTCGTATCAGTAATATATCAGGTGTGTATCACATATATATTGCACATACACTCATATCAATAGTATATAAGATGTACATCACATACATATTGCAAGTATATCCGACACTCATATCAGTAGTATATCACATGTATATAACTCACATATATCAGTAGTAAGTATATATAATTTGGGTAAAATTGTCATTTTAAAATAGAACCTTCATTTTTTTAAGTGCTATATTAAAAAAAACAAAAATGGATTGCTATTTGACTAATTTTATCAAATATTTTTACATATTTACAATTGCCACTAATAGATTTGCAACAACTAGCTAGATTTTTTTTGACATAAATGAACGCAATCTATATTAATATGGTTTGATATCTACCAATCAAGCTATAAAAAGACCATGTCGCGAGATTTTTCTTTCTTTTTTCTTTTCTTTTCTTTTTTTAAATAAAGTAACAATATTATAGCACAAGGAATAATAAACAAAATAAAGTGTCTCAAAACAAATATTCTCTCTCAAACTAATGTTGCATATTGGAACACGACTCCTATTTTGATGCTATTTCAAATCCGATAACATTTGTACACTTTTCAATATGTTAATGTACTTCTAACTCATTAATTTTTTTTCCTTTTTTGCTATGTTCAAAATTTCTTTTTTATACTAAAGATATGAAAATTTGAACTTATGTTCTTCTTATTCAAGAGCTGAACTAGTTAAGATACGTTGAAGTTTAAATACGATTTCTAAAATATTGGTTAAACTTCGTAGAAATTTGACTTGATATATAATACATTTTCAATTAAAACTAAAAAGAACTTCTTTGACACTTTTTTGACTCAATTATGGCAATTAAGTGTGGGAATTACAAAGTGATTTAAGCCCAAAGAAAAGATACTAAACATGATAATAGAAAAAGGGCATTCAAATAGCTTAGGTGTGTTTAAGTTGTATTAGATGCCTTGGCTCTTAAGTTTTCTATAAAGCCAAAAAGTCTATAAAATTGGCCCTTTTTTTTAATTTTTATTTATATAATTCTCCAAACTCTCAACCACCCTTTCTCCCCTCTCCCTTTACACCTAAATTTTAATTTCCAAAAACGTTTTAATTTATTTTCTTAAGGTTGGTCAATTAAGAATTTAAGATACCTTAATATTTTTCAAAAATAATCTTGTTGTATCCTCGATAGAGAACTTTTGTAAATTTATGTATAAATATTCTCTCTTCTAAGTTGATAGGTATATATTCAAATAACATATATATTTGGTAATTTACTTTTTCTTTATTCCATTTGATAGTTGTTGAAAAATAAAGAAACGCCGTATACCATACCTTTCCATATCGAGAGCGGATGAACGAATCGTTAACAAAAAGAAAAAGTTAAAGTTCTATTTAATTACTATTTCGTTTTTTGTTTTCTATTTTTAAAGTGCTTATTAAACATTACTTATTTTCATTTGTGTTAGGTTTTCTTGTCTACTTTTTAAAAAGCCAAATTTAAAAAAACTAAAGATTTGTTTCTGATTTTTAAATTGGACAAATAATTAAAATATAATTTTAAGAAAATGTGAAAAACATATATCAAAGTTGTGGAACCAAAGATAATTTTAAGAAATAGAAAATTAAAAACCAAATCGTTTTTTAAAAACTCTGTACATTCTACAAGTATAAAAAGATTATATAGTAAAAAAAAAAAACCTACTACATTTTTTTTTTGAATTATAACCCCATCCTTCAAGAACACTCAAAGGCATTTTTCTCAATATGCTTTGAAATGCTTTTTACCTTTTGCCACGTATTCCCTCATGTCCTCCCTTTTACATACTAAAAAAATATTTATTTTCCATTTTTTAATGTTTAAATACTATTTTGTTTGATATATATATAATTTTTTTTGCTTACTTTCATTTTTTACTTATTTAAGTCTATATATTTTTCATAACATCTATTTTGGTCCATATATTTCAACTTTGATTTACTTCAGTTATACATTTTGATTATTGTATTTTTAAAAAGTGACTATTTTAGTATTTTCATTTTCATTTCTTTTAATCATACTTTTAGTCGGATACTTCATTCATTAAATTGATTAAAATATAGTCATAAGTTTGTATTAAATGATTTTCATTATGTATAAAATGTGTTAAAATTTTGTAAATATGAACCAAATTGGTTACTTTTTAAAACTACATGAATTAAAATGTAACCCTTTTGAAAGTAAATGGATCAAAATGAACCGTAACTACAAATACATGGACCAAAATAATATTAAAAGAAAAAAGAAAAAGAAATAACATACTTCTATACCACATATTACACGTTATTTACGATTTGTGATTTTCTTTTTAGTCTTAATGTTTTAAAAAATAAAGTTTGTTCAACAATTTCTTTGTCTTCTTAATGTACCATTTAGCAAAAAGATTGTTTCCAAATAAGAAAAATAAAATAATATTAACCTAATTTTTTAAAACAAAAACTCAATCAAATAAAAGAAAAATATCAGGACATTATGTGACTTCCAATCATTGCTTGGAGACAGGAACAGGTTTATGGATCCACTACAAAAATGTTCATAATTATTTTTATTGGGATATATATTTTTAGAAAGATGGTCCTTTTATTTATTTATTATTATGAAAATATATATAATTTGGAAGAATAAAATTTATTTATAAAGAGGTATGGCTATGCACATGTGCAGGGAGTTGGACAGCAGAGTTAGTTGAAGTTTGCCCCTTTACCAACTTGTAAAGTAACCAACCTCCTCATCCCATTATTTATACCATTTTTTAAAAACTTCCAAATTTTGTTACAAAAAAAATAAAAAAATAAAAGACATCCAAGGGCAAAAAATGCTACTATAAAATAATTAAAGTTAAGTCATAATTTTAATTGTCAAATTTGAGTTCTTTTGTTGTCTCTTGGTGGATTTCAAGTGTTTTTCTTTGAAGTATTTAAGTGATTTACAAGACTTTGTTTATCACACTCCGGCGCTCAAGTCAGTTAGTCGCGATATTATCTCAAGACGAGCTTTCAAAGCTCTCTTATTTATATAGACGGTCACATACTAGGATGTGCCAACTTGGAGAACGTGTTCCATTTCACTGAAAATCACGGGATGATAATTGATAAAGATCAATCATTATGGTCTGTTGAGGTTCAAGGTGATAAACCTCATCCCTTTCTCCCAGAGTTGGGTCTCACATCTCTTTCCACGTGGAGGGTCGTCTTTTTCCATCTCGAAGAGAATTCTATGTCTATTTAGCTTCTGATTTTTTTTAATTGATCATGTCTTGAAACTTCAAATTACAGTTTACTATTTAGTTATAACTGGTAATACCAATTAACATAACGTTGACCTAACGTACACATTATTAAATAAAGTTTAACTGATTTGGTGTGATATAGTAGAACAAACCTAGACAGACGAATGTATATGTCGTGTTAGCGTTTCGTTAATAGTATAAAATAGAGATCAAAGAAGCATAATCTCTAAAGTTACACAAAATAACTAATTTATTATTAAATCTTTGATCCATTTTGTTGTATGAAACTTATTGTACTTGAGCTCAAATACTCATTCGTATAGAATGAAAATTTAACTAAATTAATATTGAGATTCAAAATGATCTAACTCATTTCAATAAGTACAAGTGAAATTACATCCATGAATGACAATATATTTATAATAAAAAAAACCCCAAAAAAGAGGAGAAAAAAAAGTATAGAATCAAGTGGGGACAGAAATTTGAGGGAAGGAATTTTAAAAAATTTAAAAGAAAACAAGTTGGGATAGCACCACATCACCAGTGGCAGTGGTTGGCAGTTGGGTCTTTTCAGCTAACACCTTTGTTATTTTCTTAGACTTATTTATGACCTTTAATTAAAAAAAAAAATTCTTTCTTTCTCAATATAAATATCCAAATTATTCATTTTATTTTCCATATTTCACTGGATTCTTTACCTATTATACTCAATTCTTAGTTGGAAATTAAGCTAGCTCAAGTATTGATCTGTCAATTTAAACATAATTTAAACATAGCTACCGACTAAAATATTATAGTTCATTTTAAAGGTACGTTCAAATTCGTACTCTTGTCGTTTTTTATTTTTATTTTTTTAGGAGCATATGAACTTGTGATATACCATTTATTTTGAGACCAAATACGAGAATTCAATACAAAAATTTTATGAACTAAAATATTTAAAAGTAAAGAAAATAAATACAATAAAAAAAGTTCAAACATTTTTTAATAAATCATAAATATAGTGTCTAAACTTATGTCTAATAAGTTGAAAAACTAAAAAATACCTAAATTTAAAATATCGTATAAAATGTCTTATTCCAAAATTGAAAATTTAAGGACTAATTTAAATTAAAAACTAAATTTGTAATTTAATTTAATTTTTGTTGGGACTCAGCTAGGTTGGCACTTTCAAAAGCCATTGTAGAGTTTTATAAGCACTTGGCCATGCCCACAGCCCACAGCCCACAGCTGAGAGAGAGAAA